TGAGCACGGACCTGTGTGAAATGGTTGGACCACTGCTCCTTGTCACCTGCAAATGAGAGGTTAAGGCCAGCTGACCTCTGAGACATGCTCCAGCTCTAATCCCTCAGCTCTGTTTACTAAAGAGAAAGCCTGGGCCGACTCTGTGGTGTTTGTACCCCTCCCCAGTATTTACCTCTCCCTGCTGTGTAGGATAATGTGCGTCTCCACTACAGTGTCCATGCTAGGACTGGAATGAGAGACAAACCCCATCAGCATTTGTTAGCTGAGTGACCTGGGGCAGGGCCGCGGCTCAGCTCCATGGCCTCGTCCACAAATAGGATTATTAATAGCTGCGCTGCCTCTACCTCATGGGATGGTTGTGAGACTCAGAGCTAACAATGAGCACGAACAGATTCCCATAAAATCTAAAAGGGTGTCCTCGCGTAGGGGTTATTCTGACAGCGCATAGGCTTGGTGTCCGACTCCCAAGTACCCAGCAGCGCGCTTGGCCCCTGGAGGGCACTCAAGAAGTGTTTACTCAATGAGTGAATAAATGAAAATATGACCAAAGACAGAGCAAGCAGGACAAGCAGGGCAAGAGGTAGAGGGATTTGACAGCCAGCTGTGGTGGTTCACACTTGTAATCCCAGTGCTCTGAGAGGCTGAGGCAGGAGAATCACAAATTCAAGCCTAACCTGGGCACCTCTGTGACTTAGTGAGACGCTGTCTCAAAATAAAAAATGTTTAAAAGGCTGGAGTGTAGCTCAGCGCAAAGGCCCTGGGTTCAATCTCCAGTACGCCTCCCAAAAGACACAGAGGAACTGAATTTACAAACTTATTCCATAAGCACCATCTCTAACTTACTTTCACGCCCAAAGGGTTCCAGAGTTTATGTGTTAAGAAAGGAAATGCACAGCTGCCCTATCTTTCTGTGGTTCAGGGCAGGAGAGCTGCATGTCTAGGAAGCAGAAGAGTTGTAGCCTTGAGCCCTGTTTCGGTCTCCCAGCCCCTTGAAGTTGCTGAGCATGCTCCTTGCAGTTCAGCTAGGCTGCAGCCTTTGCCTGGCTTCCTGCCTTTCCGTGGGGATCCGTTGCTGCCCCAGTGACACCTCAGGAGGAGCACTTTGCAGCTGAGGACCTGGGGCCGGCCTCACCGAGGCCCCTCCTGGGACTGTGGCCTCTCCCGAGGCCCGGCGCAATGTCTTGGCTTTTCCCTGCTGTCCCGGTTGTTCTTGGTGGGCCGTTCAGTGTGTTACACACTCCTGCATCCTAGGCAGAAGTGCGAGTCCATTGGCATGTTTTTCAGCACGCCTGAGGTGAGCACAGGCAGGACTGAGAATCCCTGGCCCAGGAACACAGAGAGCCTGAGCCCGGCCACCCAGGCTGCTGACAGAAGAGCTGGCACCACAACTGGGGCCCTGGCATCCAGGCCAGGGCTCTTCTACAGGCCCAGCATCCCAAGGGGCGTCCCTTTTCACTCTGCTGCCCTTGTGAGCTGGCTAGGCCCCTCCTGCTCACACCCGCCTCACCCACGGGGGGAGGCAGATTGGTGTCCTGGGACCATTCGATCTTCAGGCCACCCCCACCAAGCCCTCCCCAGCCAGTGCAGACCACAGAGCCGCCCTCTCCTTATCTCAGACATGCAGTCAGCTATGGCCAGAGCCTAATTGTTCTGTGGCTTTCTGCTTAATCATGGGCTGCAGGGGACCCAGGGCGCCCAGTCCCCTCTCACAGCTGTCACTTCAGCCCCCACCGCTGGAGTTTTGTCCTTGGCCTGAGAAGCATCCCCTCGGCACACAGCAGCCCTGAGCCCTCCCCTCAGGCCCTCAGTCCTGTCCTTATCATGGTCTTCTCCCTGGCTAAGGCCGCGCCCGCCTCCAGCCCTTGTCCTTGTGCTAAGTGAGCTGTGGACTTTGTCCCCGGACACACCAGTCCCCACTGGCTAATTCTCACAACTCAAGGCTGCTGTGTTCATCGAAGAAGGAGCCTCACAGAGGACACTTCCTCCTCTGGGAGAACATATAACACCTCAGAGAAGGGCCCCAGGGCCTCTCCCTCCCCCAGGAAGCACTCAGGCTGCAGGCGCAGGCAGGGGAGACGCTGGTGAGGCCGAGACCCTGCCTCCTTGTGCTGAGGGCGGAGGCCTAGGTCCCAGAGCCTGTCTGACCCCACCGCTGCCCTGGTAGGGGCGTTTGGCAAGTTGCCACTTTCGGCGACCACAACCTAATGCCAGGGACACAACAGAGACTCCATCGACAAATGTTGACTGCTCTTGTGGCCCTTTCCTTCTCAGCCCTGGAGCCAGGGCCATTGATAGCGCCGTGCAGGCTCCATCCGCCTCTTGCAAGTCCTGGGCACGGGTCCCCTGGGAGCCCCACCCTGCAGGAGAGGTAGAGAGACTTCTGGAACTTCCTGTGCTCGCTCTCCTCTGGCTGCTGCCTGGGACCCTGCCGGTTCTCAGCGATGGGGTGGCAGTGCCAGCCATGCCGGGGCTGGATCTAGAGAAGCGGGTACGCTTCGCTGCGTGCTCCTAGCTCCACATACTTGGGACAGTGAAGCAGACAAGGCGACCGAGTCTTCTGCCCAGTCCTCCCCATCCGAGAGCTGCCCGGAGAAGAGGAGCCAGCGAGGACTGGTGGGGAGGAGGGAGAGTGGCTTTGTCTCTGCTTTTCTTCCATCGCTGCCGGTTTGGAGACACCCAGGAGCCCTCACAGAGGCCACTGTGCTCCTCAGGGCCTGGGAGAGGGGTCATCGCCAAGAGGGTGGCCTCAGAGAGATAGGGCACCACGGAGAAAGTGAGGGGTCATTAGCTGGCCTCGGGGCAGGGCAAGTGTCCTCCTCAAGAGACTTCTCAGGCTGGAGACGAGGATGACTGCTACACCCACCCAGAGGTCAGGAGCAGAGAAAGGGTGGAGAATTGGAGCTGACCTTAGGCCCGGCAGAGCCTCCACTCCCACAGCAGGTGGGGGATGGGCCTACTGAAGCCACCGATGAGCAGGGACCGAGGCGGGGGCTGTGTGGCCACCCCGCCAGGCAGGCAGTGGGAAGGGGAGTAGGGCTACAGGAGTACTTGGAAACCGGAAGTATGACTCTCAGTAGTACTCAGTGCAGTTTAATTGTGTGCCTTAAACGCAAGCCAGTCAGGTATCTCAGTTGTACTAAGTGCAATTCTCAGCTGAACTCTGAGTACCGGGGGGTGGGGTACAGAATTGCCCCGCGCTGCTCCACCCGCCGCACAGCCTCCTGGGGCCTCTCTGCTTCTGAATATCCTCTGCTTTTCCAAACCTCAGCTGGCCCAGGTGCCAGGAGCAGAGTTAGGAGGACGACAGACGCGGTGGCCTTGCCAGTTCCCAGCGGGCCTGCCAGGCTGGGGGAGGTGGCTCGGGCATGGGCATCTGCCTGGGCCTGTGTTGTTCTGGCCCGTGCTGCCAGGGGCTCGCCGGCGACCAAAGGGCAAGTCCTGCCTCTGGCTTCCCTGAGGCCAGGTTGCTGTCACTGTTGTTGGCTGCCCCCAACCAACCCAACGGCGGATGCTCCACCTCTCCTGGCATGGCACACGCGCCCACGCAGGCCCACATCCCCGCGGTAGCTGGTGGCAGAGAACAGACTGGGAGGTTTTTATTGGCTCTGGTGACGCTGACTCCATCTGGGGTCTGGTTTCCAGGTTAGGTCATAACAGAGGACTGAAACTGTTCCATGCAGAAACCATTTCAGCCCTCAAGGAGACAGAGGGACATACTCAGGGTCGGGAGCTTGAGGACAGCAGGTCACATCAGCTAGAGCAAGGGTCCCGAGGCCACAGAACTGGATTTTGGCAGCTTAGAGGGCCCTGGCCTCTGGCATCGAGCATCCCAGCCCTGAGAGGCCTCCCTGGTTCTATTTGCTCTCGGCAGCCGTGGGGATATCACTTCAGCCCTGTGGGCTTTTGTCAGCTCCTCTTGTGAAGGAACTGGACCAGCTCCTACTGAGCCCCCTAACTCTAGGATTCCTTTGCAAAGGGTTTGACACAGAAGCAGAGGCCTCAGGGACATCTGGCCAGCTTTGGTCAACTCAACCCACTGCCCTCTAAGGAAAGCCAGGTTTGCACTGGGCCGTGGCAGAAGCCACTGTCTCTGCACCACCATCCTCATGAGCAGAGACGTGTGTGTGCCCTTCTGTGCTCCTGAGGCGTTCTCCTGCGCCTGGGCAGAGTGACAGCCCCTGTCTGCTGTGTGTCCTCAGGGCTGGGACAGCTCTGAGAGGCGGTGACCCAGCAAGAAGGACAGGAGATCAGGGTTCCACAGGGAAGGCCATACTGCATCGCCGTCTCCTTCAGGCCCTGGTCCAGTTCCAGGCCCATAGCAGTCGTCTCCAAGCACATACTGAGCTTTGCTATGTGCCCAGCTCTGTGTCCAAGCCCGGGATATGAAATGTGGGTCTCTCTGCCTCTCTGGGGTGTACAGCACTGGCTTTCCTGAGCTGTGATTTAAACTGAAAGATCCAAAATCAGAGACATCAAGAGCCCAGAGAAGAGGCTGGAGTGGTCAGGGCGGGCTTTTCCAAGGAGTCGAGCTTTCTCTGGGTCCTTGCTGTGAGCCTCACTTACCCTGGGACTATCTTCCCATTCCTCACCCTCTTGGTTTTCCCCTGACTCCACCCACGTTCCTACATGCCTGAGAGATCGGGGGCGAGTGTAGCAATCAGGCACCGTGAGGAGGCGCGGAAGCCCGGCCCAGCCACCAGAGCAGGACACACAGTCCTGACCTCTGCCTCCTCCCCGTCTGATCTCAGCCTCAACTCACACGCAAGCTCAGAGCTGTGCGTCTCGAAATCAGAATGCCAAGTGTTGTCCTGCACCAGAACTCACTGTAGACACCGGTGCATGTTACCTCCAGAATCCCCTCTTCTTGTCCCCACTTCACCAGTGGTAAAACCATCGGCCTGCATGCCCAGAGATGGCACCCCTGGGCTGGGCTGTATCTGAACCTGGGTTACCACTGTGTCCCTCCTAACTGACCTGTCCCCTCTTCTCTCTCACCCCAGGTGCCCCCGGGCCTCCAGGACCAAGAGGACTCAAAGGAGACTCAGGCTTAAAAGGGCCTGTTGGCAGCAGAGGACCCAAAGGAGACTCTGGCAGCTTGGGACCCCCTGGGCCCCAGGGCCCTCAAGGGCAGCCTGGGGAGCCTGGACCAGTGGGTGAAAGGGGACCGATTGGCCCACGAGGTTTCCCAGGCCTCAAAGGTTCAAAAGGCAGCTTTGGCACTGGAGGGCCGAGAGGACAGCCAGGCCCTAAAGGAGATGTGGGGCCCCCGGGGCCGGAGGGGCCGCCCGGGTCTCCAGGACCCTCAGGGCCTCAGGGAAAACCAGGGATTGCAGGGAAGACAGGGTCACCGGGCCAGCGGGGGGCCACAGGACCTAAGGGTGAACCGGGGATCCAGGGTCCCCCTGGCTTGCCTGGGCCCCCAGGCCCACCAGGAAGCCAGAACCCTTAGTGAGAAGAGTCCCTGGCCCAGACACTGCTGCACAGAAAGGGGAGGGGCTTTAAAAAGCTCAAAAGCTTCACCTACAGATAAAGTCCTTTGATTCAAATGTGGGGCGTTCCCCAGAGCTGATCCTGCAGCTGTGGGATCCCCCATGGTGACTGTACCACAGGAAAGCGCGCACGCACACACACACACACACACACACTTCCCTGCTGGCCAGGGGAACGATTGGGTTTCCCTGGCTGCGCAGGAGGAGAGGGTAGAAGAAGCCCCTCTCCTGTGACTGAGCCAGCCAGGGAGGTGGCGATCTCAAGAAGAAGGTCTTGAATCTGTCTCTGGATGGTGGCCAGCTCCTGTCTTTCTAGTGTCTTCTCACCCTTGCTGGCTGGCAGTGTCCTAGGGCTTCCTCTGGTTGAGAAGACCCAGGGAGGGCTGGGGGTGTAGCTAAGAGGTAGAGCACTTGCCTAGTATGTGGGAGACCCTGGTTCCATCCCTAGCACCCCTAAAAGAAAAAAAAGAAAAGACCCAGGGAAAGCTTTGCGGGGCATCGTAGCTGAAATTCCAGGGACAAGTTGAGAGTGGTGACAGCAAGCCCTCGTTTCGTCCTGGAAACCGAGCTCCCCCTGCCTCAGACAGGACAGTGGGACTCTTCAATTCGCACAGTACCCCTGACAAATTCATCATTTTCTTTCAAAGCATTCCCCACTTAAATCTTGCCTCTGTGTCTCAGGAGCATCCTGGAGGGAATCCGAGCAAGAGTTTTGTCTGCAGGTGGAAATGCTGTAGGCCCTGGAACATTCCACTTAACTGCTGCCCAGTACCCAGGAAGGCTGCAAAGGCAGGAGGCGGAGGCAGGCATGAAAGCTGCTCCTGGAGTTGGCATGCTTTGTCCCCAGTGGAGCTCCTCTTTGGTGACCAGGGAGGACCAGAGTGCCACAAGGGCCACCCCTGAAAAACAGAGGCCTCCTGTACTCACTCCTGCCCATAGCCATTCAGTGACCTTGCCTCACTGGGACCCAAAATGCCCTTTTGCACACAAGCCATAAACTAGATAGCCATGGAGAGAGCCTTGACATCCACAGGAGGCTCCTTTGGGAGTCACTTCCTACTCCCCATCAACATCCGGTGCACACTGGGAGAAGGGGATGCTGGGAAGTTACCCAGCGGAAGAGCGTCTTCCGGGAAAGCTGTCCACCTTTATGTTCAAGCACATTCAGACACTGCAGCATAGAGCACGGAGCGGCCTTTTCTCCAACACTGCCTCAAAGACCTGCACTCCTTCTGGCCAAGCCTTTGGGCTACCTTTCTGGTTGCCACTGATGTGCAACTGGCTTGCACTCCACGCCCACCCCCTCCACCATGTAATTCTCCTGTTTGTCTACGTATGATAATATCATGCCACATAATATTACTGACCCAGTAAAGAGCTGTTTCCAGGAGGAACGTATCTTCTAGTGTTTTCTGCCCAAGCTGGGGTGGTGATGACTTGGGGGCTTCAGGCCGACCTTTGAAGGGGAACATCAGTGTCAAGGATCCCACTGTGGACTCTGGATCTCAGTCCTTCGCCCCTATAGAAGCACTAAGCTCTGCCTGGAGTTCCCAATGATTTGCAGAGGAGCCAGGGACTGAACGCTTTGGAGGGAATTACCCCAGAAGACAGGGACGCAGCAGGAGCTATGCACTCTGTGACTCTTGCAGTATAGCACTGTAGTTCTTTGGCCAAACAAGATTGAAAAATAGGACAGGTGTCGACCCTGCAGGGATACCTCTTGCTTCCTTATTCATCTGTAAGACACACAGATAGAACTGGAAAGGAAGAGGAAACCAGGCCAGACCTGCCCCAAGGGATCTTGGCTTGCAGGGTCTGCAGGGATGGAGGAGGCCATGGGGGTCTCCTGGGATCAGCGCAGGACCTGTTCTTCTAAGGCATAGTAAGCTCGTTTGCTAGTAAAACATGGCCTGCTGCAAGCCTGGAGCACTGGTGTGCTTTTATTTTGTTTGGAGAGGGTGGTGTTGCTTAGTAGAGGAAGCAGACAGGCAGAAGCACAAGTGGAAGGTGGGGCCACCATCTATGGGCCTTGCCATCTCCTGAACGCCTGTGTGCCGTGAGGTCCCTCTCCCTGGCAGCACCTGAGATGCATGGGGCACTGAGATAGGTGCTGTGGAGGTCACAGGGTGAGTGAGGCCAAAGGCCACACTGGTCACCTCTCCTGGAGGAGGGAAGCACGCAGTAAAACCACCCGTCTGCCTAGGGCCATGCGCAGAACAGGTCAGGGCAGAGAAGGAGGCAGCCCCGGGCAGAAGTCTGACAGGTGATGCCACCTCTGAGAAAGTGACACTCAGGTGGCAGCACCAGGAGGACAGGCAGAACAAGCCCGTGGTGGCAGCTCCCAGTCTGACACTTCACAAGTCTCAAGGGAGCCCGAACTACCGGCTGTTGGGGTTGGGCAGGTGGGGAGCAAGCCAGCAAAGCTGAGCATGAGGACAAGCCAGTGTCCTGCGTCCAACTCCAGAAAAGCCAGATCTGAAACAACCCCAAGGGGCAAGTTTGGGTCCCGAATGAGAGACAAGGCCACAGGATCAAAGGCAGTGCCTTTGAGAACATAAGAGCAAAGACGTAAGAGAAACTCTCAGGGCCTGGACAACTGCCACGAACTAGTTCCTGGCCCTGTGGTTTGAGGGGTCCACTCAACTTAGGGGCACAATTTAAGGGCAAAGGTAGACACCATGCTGCTCACCCATGCAGTCACCAGGGCGCCCCCCGAAGCCTCATCTAGGAAATAAGGGAGGTGGGGCACACAGTAAGAGTGCAGCAGGAGAACTCCCGGCTGGCAAATCTGAAGTCCGTCTGGACCCAGGGTTACTAGGTGGGAAGCTGTCGGCATCCAACACTGCTCTCCTCCCTTCAGGGATCTATCTGGCTGGTCCCTCGCCTCTCCATCTCTTGGTGCCTATTGATCTCTCTGCATCTGTGTCCTTCTCTCAGTCAGCGCCTCCTACTCACCCCAGGGGACCTGGTTCTTTAGCTGCTAATTTCCACTTCCCAAGCAAGAAATCCCATTGTGAGCCCCTGGGTCAGGAGGTCTGCCTGTGTATGAAGAAGGACAGGGGCTGGGGATTTAGCTCAGTGGCAAAGCGCCTGCCTGGCAAGCGCAAGGTTGTGAGTTCGGTTCCCGGTACCGGAAAAAAAAAAAAAAAAAAATAAAAAAAAATAAAAAATAAAAAATAAAGAAGGAGAAGTAGGGATGCACTGGTGAAACGACAGACACAGAAATGGCTAAGGGCAAGCTGGCGATGAAGTCTGGTGGGCAGTGCAGAGACAAGATGATAGCAACAACCATAATAGAAAACACCAACAGGAGCTGCCGTTCAACAGAAGGCCATGGGGCTGGGGATTTAGCTCAGCGGCAAAAAGCGCCTGCCTGGCAAGCGCAAGGTCGTGAGTTTGGTTCCCGGTACCGGAGAAAAACCAAAAAAAAAAAAAAAAAAAAAAAAAAAAAAAAAAAAAAAAAAAAAAAAAAAAAAACAAATCAACAGAAGGCCACTCTAAGCACTTCTCATACAGAGCTCGCTCGGTCTTCACTACAATTATAATGTACTTACCAGCATCATCCGTCCTTTATAGAGGGGGAAATAGAGTTTGGGAGCGATCCAGTGACCTCCCAAAGTCATAGAGGTGATAAGTTCTCAGAGTTACTGGGGTTGAGGCTCAGCCTTGAGAAAGGTGCTTACCCATTCTGCGCTTGCTTTTCCTCCAGCAAAGCTGAGCGGAAGCTCCGCCCAGTGGCCCAGGGTCCTGGGCAGCTTGGCTGCCCCAAAATCTCACAGACTGCATGCTTGTACTGCAGAATTTTATTTTCTATAGTGCTAGGGGCTGGGAAGTCCAGAGTCAAGGTGCCAGCTCTTCCTGGATGGCAGATGGCTGTCACTGTCCTCTGTCCTCACATGATGACAGCTAAAGGCTCTTTTTTTCTTGGAAGGCCACAGTCCCATCAGATTAGGCTCACTCTGTGACTTCACTTCACCGTAATTGCCTACTAAACACACAAGTCCTAAGGAGCCCATCTCTAGACAGGGACTAGGGTTAAGGCTTTGGCATATGAATCTTCCAGGACAGAGCGCACTTCATAGCTCTGGGCAATCATCAACCCTGTGTGAGCATCAGCCGTTGTTGCAGTGGTGCTCACCATACAGACACTAAGCTTCCGGGATCTCAGTGGCCCTGCCATTGTCATCAGCACAGGAGGAGCCAGAATGCAAGCCCTGTACACCCCAGTTCCTAAGTGACTCCCTGTGCTCTGAAAGCCCCAAGAGATCAGGCGCATGGTCAGGCTCCTCCTTGTTCTCATGCAGGTCGGGGATTTGTGAGCTCCTAGATGGGAACTCAGGGTGCAAGGTCAAGACCATGGAGTGCCCGAACCTCACCCCTCTCTGCCCAAGTCACCACATGGCCCTTCATGGAGTATCTGGTCCTTTCTAGGTTCTTCTGGAACTTCAGCGAGTGGAGCATGGGGCTTAGGCAGCGGGTAGCCAGAGCCATGAGGCCAGAAACAGAAGGCATGAGTTGATATGTGCATTACGCTTAATGAGAAATACACCCCTCTTGCAGTGGGGGACAGGGCAGGCTCCATGACGCGGTCCCTCAGTGGATGTAGAACTGGGACAGGTCATGCTTCCGCCCTGCTGGGCCCTTCAACCCTGTGGCATGCAGGCTCAGCACCAGCCCTTACAGACCTTCAGTTGCTTCATCAGAAAACAGGGGCGCACCCAGCTACTTCAGAGGCTGAGACAGGAGAACCACACGTTTCAGACTAGCCTGGGAAACCTATGCGATCCTGTCTCAGATTTTAAAATGTTGCTGAGTGTAGTGGCTCAGGCTTATAGTCCTATCACTGCAGGAGGCTGAGGCAGGAGGATTACAAGTTTGAGCTCCTCCTGGGCAACTTATTGACTTAGCCAGACCCTGTCTCAAAATAAAAAGAATTTTTAAAATATTGAGCTGGGGATGTAACTTAGTGACAGAGTACTTGTCCAGCATGCATGAGACCTTGGGTTCAATCCTCATTACAGCAAAAGAAGAAGAAGGAGGAGGAGGAGGAGGAGGGGAAGGAGGGAAAAGAAGTGAAGGGAAAGGAAGGGAAGGAAAGGGAAAGGAAGGGAAGGAAAGGGCAGGGCAGGGCAGGGAAGGGAAGGGAAGGGAAGGGAAGGGAAGGGAAGGAAAGTGGCAAGTCTGGACCCCAATAGGCCTGGCCCTCTGCATGCCTCTGTCCCATCATTCTAACCAAGCACCCCTCCTGCACCACTCCACTCTTCTCCTGGAACTTCCCAGTACCAAAGTAATAAAGTCGGAACCCAAACTGAGAGGTGACAACCAGCCGAATGTCAGCTACTGGATTAGAACACAGATTTGACGAGTGAGGCCGTTTTAATCCCTGCAGGACTTGAGAAGCAGTGAAGTCATTTCTGGGTCTCCCAAGAGGCCGCCTGGGAGCCGCAGGCCTGTGCCATGGCCTCTGAGTAGCTCTAAAACCCCACTGTTGCCCACTCATTTCAACAGCTTTACCACCTCTGCCG